ATAATTTTGAAAAATAGATACTTAAACTATTTAATCTTAATCTATGTGGATTCATTAAAACATTAAAACTTTAAAAAAATGAAGAAAACTTCCTCTGATAAAATTTCAACTTAAAAGATTTAATTCAAAAGCGAAGCCACAGTCTCTTAATACCAAGAGTAAAATCCTGACTTAAAACTTGTCATTTTCGAAGGTGTAGTCTACAATATAAATGAATATATCAATTTGCATCCAGGCGGGATAGATATTTTGCAAAATCTTCTTGGTAAAAGTATTGATGATGCTTTTGAAGAAATTTCTCATTCAAAAGCTGCAAGAAATATCTTTTAGAACTTAGAAATCATTGGTAGAATGACATCTAACAATTTTACTGTTGACTTGAATGAATCAGATACTTAAGACTCTGATTAGGGTCAATAGTAAGATAAGAAAGACTGTGATGGTTTAGATGGGTACAAGTTAAAAGGCAATGCTTGGAAACCAGATTACAGTCGTAGCCTGATATCTTAACTTTGGTATGACAATATTACACATGAAGAGTATGTAAACTTTGTAGAAGAGCCTAAGATTTTAATTAATCCAAGAAGAAGCGTTAAGGTTTTTAGCAATGATTTCATGGAATTTTTTGTTAAAACTCCATGGTATCATCTTGTGATTTTCTACTTCCCTTTCATTTATACTTACATAATAGAAAGCAGGCAGGACATTATTTAAGATGCTATTTGGTTCTCCTTTGGTATATTTTACTGGTCATTTCTCGAGTACCTAATCCATAGATTTGTATTTCATGCTGAGAAATATTGGCTGCCCTATAATAAAGCATTCAAAGTTGTTCATTTCTTAGGACATGGAATGCATCATGCTTTTCCAAATGAACCTAAAGCTACACTAGTACCAGTATTACTCGGATATATTTTGGTCAAGGCTATGCTTGATCCTTTTATTAGACTTTTATTGCCAGACAATGTAGAAGATATTTTTATAGCTGGTACATTATTTGGCTATGTTATCTATGACTTAATCCACCATTTTATTCATTAGTCTTAGTTTAATGGAGGCTATATGAAGACAGTTAAGCTTTATCATATGTAGCATCACTATAAGAGTGGCTGGGCTGGGTTTGGAGTTACTCATAAATTCTGGGACATTGTATTTAGAACTGAATTGAAATTTTGAATTATTGAGAACAATAATCAAAATAATCCTACCTTTTAATCCTATTGTATTAAATTAATAATGATATCAATACCAAAATATTGATTAGCTTTATATTTAAATTTATGATTTCTAAAGATTATTAAACAATTTAGCAAAAGGGGTTTTGGGGTTTTGGGG